AAAGTAACGAGACTTTTACTGTTCTCTGTGACCATCTGAGCTTCTACACAGAGTCAGTGGACACATGTTGATATGTTTCAACTACAGTCAACAAATCATTGTACTTATAAAGAAATGTCTTCACAGAGAGAGGAAGAGGAGTTGCTGTGTTTTGTGTCGGGACGTCCTGAAGGATCCAGTCTCTACCAGCTCTGGACTCTGGTTCTGCAGACAGTGCATCACCTCATACTGGTACCAGTCTGCTTCATCAGGAGACGCCTCCTGTCCCCAGTCTGGAGAAAGACCCAGAACAAGACAGAGTAAGACTGTATACCTGTCTGCTGATGTGTTAATACATTAGTTGTGTCATACAGTACGGCCATTTAACACCTTTATACATTTAAATTTTATTTGCATGTTTTTTCTGCTCCAGCATACAATTCTTGTCCTTGTTCTCCTTTGAGAAAACATATTGACACATGTTGGTTTTATGATAGCGCCCCCTGTCTTTGCATTAAGCAGTCAGAATGCTGTTTGTTCTCTGTGTGCATAGATGGAGATGGAGAACTATTAAACTCTGTGTAAAGCAGTAACATCACTGTTCTATCACAGACAGACAGCAGCCTGAGACGCAACAAGAGCCACAGACTTTAAACAACAGCTCACATTGGTGTTCCTGCTCGTGACTGCTTCTTCTCTAACTTACAAACACACTTCGTCCTGCAGACTGACTTGTTGAACAAGCAACCGAATAAACATCCACTGAGGAAAAGTGTACTGCTAACATCATTAGGTAGCTAATGAGCTCATCAGTGTCAGCACATTAAACAGCTTAAACTGTACTGTACTTACACTGTTGGCCCTCAGCTCGTAAACAACAGTTTTCAGTTTGCTTACTTTGTCTTTGTGCCACATTGTGTCAAACTGTGAACACGTGCATCTCCACTGCAGCCTCATAGCAGGAACAAACTAGCTGTTGTGGTTCTGATGGTAGCATCATGGTCAACAGGGGCCAACCTGAGATCCTCCTCCCTCAAACAAAAGCCACGTCTGTCTCTAAAGTGTGTGTCTGTGCTGGAGACCAGAGACAAAGATCTGTTTCTAAAAGTCTCTCTGTGTTCAGCTTTCAGGACTTTTATTTAATATGTTTTATTCCATTCTTTGCAAACAATATAATATCACCATAGCAACATATCGTGATGTGAATTTGGTTTTGCCGTGCTGCCTTTCGGTTGGAGTCCATGTGAACGCAGCATCAGTCAGAGCTTTGTTACCTTACTGCTGATGTAAACTCAACACTTCCTGCTGCTGCTGCACATGAAAGTGAACCAATGGGAGGCTTTTATTGTGAAGCAGGAAACGGAGTGTATTTCTCACACAGATACACTATTCAATAACGTATTCTGCATTATTTGGTCGATGGATCAGTTTAAACATTCCTGAGACGAAGGGGCATTTCTGATGTTTACACAAAACTGGACTTTATAACCTTTAATTCTGGAAATATTCTGATTTTGTTTTTTTATTGACAATGAAAATAATCAGAAGAGTCAAATTATGTTTTGTCTCCCATTTCTTCTTCTCTTCCAGCAGATGGTGGTCTGCAGGATGTTTTAGATGAAAATAAGATCGGTCTGAGGAGGAGATGTGAACGTGTGACTGAAGGAACTGATGAACCAGGAAGTGGAACCCTCCTCAACAGGATCTACACTGAGCTCTACATCACAGAGGGACAGAGTGAAGAGGTTAATACCCAACATGAGGTGAGACAGCTTGAGACAGCTTCCAAGAAGAAGATCCTCCATGACGCTCAAATCAAGTGCCACGAGATCTTTAAAGCCTTACCTGACCAACAGAGACACATCAGAGTGGTTCTGACGAACGGCGTCGCTGGCGTTGGAAAAACCTTCTCAGTGCAGAAGTTCACTCTGGACTGGGCAGAGGGCTCGAACAACCAAGATGTCAGTCTGGTGGTTCTGCTTTCGTTCAGGGAGCTGAACCTGATCAAAGATGAGCAGTACAGTCTTCTCAGGCTGCTCCATGTTTTCCATCCAACATTACAGAAGGTCACAGCAGAGCAGCTCACTGTCTGTAAACTTTTGTTCATCTTTGACGGCCTGGATGAAAGCAGACTTTCACTGGATTTCCACAACAATGAGGTTGTGTCTGACCTCACACAGAAGTCTTCAGTCAACGTGCTGTTGACAAACCTCATCAAGGGGAATCTGCTTCCATTGGCTCTCGTCTGGATAACTTCGAGACCTGCAGCAGCCAATCAGATCCCTCCTGAATGTGTTGACAGGGTAACAGAAGTACGAGGCTTCACTGACGCCCAGAAGGAGGAGTACTTCAGGAGGAGAGTCAGTGATGAAGATCTGTCCAACAGAATCATCTCCCACATCAAGGATTGCAGAAGCCTCCACATCATGTGTCTAATCCCAGTCTTCTGCTGGATCACTGCTACAGTTCTGGACCACATGTTGACCACAGACCAGAGAGGAGAGCTGCCCAAGACCCTGACTGACATGTACTCACACTTCCTGCTGGTTCAGACAAAGAGGAAGAAACAGAAGTATGATGAGGGACATGAGACGAGTCCACAGGAGCTGATGGAGGCTGACAGGAAGGTTCTTCTGAAGCTGGGGAGGCTGGCGTTTGAACAGCTGGAGAAAGGAAACATCATGTTCTACCAAGAAGACCTGGATCAGTGTGGTCTTGATGTCACAGAGGCCTCGGTGTACTCAGGAGTTTGTACAAAGATCTTCAAAAGAGAGAGTGTGATCTTCCAGAAAACAGTCTACTGCTTCGTTCATCTGAGCATTCAGGAGTTTCTGGCTGCAGTCTACATGTTCCACTGTCACACCAACAGGAACACAGAGGTACTGGAGGACTTCCTAAAAGGTTGGGATGATGATGATGATGATGATGATGACAGAGACCCATCACTAGATGACTTCCTGTGTAGAGCCATGATGAAATCCCTAACGAGTGAAAATGGCCATCTGGACCTGTTTGTTCGCTTCCTTCATGGCCTCTCTCTGGAGTCCAACCAGAGACTCTTAGGAGGCCTGCTGGGTCAGACAGACAACAGTCAAGTAATCATCCAGAGAGTCATGAACAACCTGAAGGAGATGAACAGTGATGATATCTCTCCTGACAGAAGCATCAACATCTTCCACTGTCTGATGGAGATGAACGACCACTCAGTCCATCAGGAGATCCAAGAGTTCATGAAGTCAGAGAACAGATCAGAGAAGAAACTCTCTGACATCCACTGCTCAGCTCTGGCCTACATGCTGCAGATGTCAGAGGAGGTTCTGGATGAGTTGGACCTGCAGAAGTACAACACATCACAGGAGGGACGACAGAGACTGATTCCAGCTGTGAGGAACTGCAGAAAGGCTCTGTAAGTCCAGATGTGATTAACATTATAAAGCAATGCTGAAGTCATCAGTATTAGAGTCAATATACACACTTTACACACAAACACACACACACACACACACACACACACACACACACACACATAATATAAAACTTCCACACTGTAAAAGTTTTCCTAAACTAGCATTAAACCTGCTTATTGAATACAGTAGACATGTGTTACACTACAAATGTTTAAAATGCACCGAGAATAAGACAGAAATCATTTTTGTGTTTATAGCTATCAGGTCAGTGAACATCTTCTTGTATCTTCTATCGTCTTCTGTCTTTCTTTGGGTGACGGAGGTTCGATACAAATCCAGCAGACAAACTTGAGGGCTCAAGAGTTTGTGCTGGAAATGTCCTTTTTTACAGTGTATACAGTGTGTCCAATGTGTTTCTGTTATCATTTATTATTCATTTTATGATTTGTGTGGCTGTGGGGTTTCCCCCAATAAAATCTGATTAAAAACTGCATTTTAATAAATAATAACAGTAATACATTTTATTTATAGAATGCTTTTGTAGAAAGTCAAAGACATTTCACATAAGTTAAAAAAATTAAAACAACATACTAAAAAACTATATATAGATAAATATCTACAACACTCAACAATGAATCAAACATTAAAGGGCCTAATTAAAGGCCTTGGGACAGGGGAGCAGTGGAGGAGGTGCAGTTGTTGGTATTGATGAACTGTCTATTTGTGAGATATGACCTTAGCCAGGAGAGGCCAGTACCGGTGATGTTGAGGGAGGACTGAAGGCGGGAGAGAAGAATGGTGGTTGATGATGACATATGCAGGTTACATTTGTGGATGAAGCTACCATGGCATATGGACAAACACATGTACCTATATAATGAGGTTCATTAGACATGTGCGCTGTTGATACTCATGATATGATGTTACTATGGTCCATGTTTCCAGCTCCTTGTATGTGATTTGGAGGCTGTCACATTGATTGTTTGTCATTAATGGCTTCCTACTGCTCGTGGGGAATGAGCATGATATGATTATGCATATTTTAAAAATTCAAACCAGATTGTTGTTCAACATGTCCCCAGGTACCACTGAGCTAAACAGTGGCCAGTATGTGGGACCAGTCCACTTTTTCATAAAGATCCTGATCTCATCATCACAACATCTTTCCTTGTAATTACGAGATAGTAACTGATAATTACGATATGTCTAAATGTTTTTTTGTGAAGGCAATGTGCTTCTGTAGCTGTTTACATTCCCCCAGACCCACATTCAAAAAATGCACTGCAGAACTACTTTACTGGCTTTATAGTTATATATGTTAATAACTGTATGTATTGTTTATTTTATTCTAATATAAATGTAATATGTGTATGTTCTATGTGTGTGTGACATGAAGGGGCTACAACTTACATTTAAACATGCTGTGTTAAATATGAATGTTGAATGATTTCTGTGTGTCTTTATTTGCTTTGTGATCTAAATGCAATCAGATTTTATTTTAAAGGTTATATTCTCTGTATTCACAGACTTTCTGAATGTGGACTCTCAGAGACTCACTGTGAAGTCGTGGCCTCAGCTCTGAAGTCCAACCCCTCCCATCTGAGAGAGCTGGACCTGAGTAAGAACTACAACCTGAAGGATTCAGGAGTGAAGCTGCTGTCTGCTGGACTGGAGAGTCCACACTGTAGACTGGAGACTCTGAGGTCAGTTCATGTGTTTGCTCTGTGTATATCTACCAAATATAACAGAAGTTTTAAATCTCCTTCAGTTCTTTTGCTTTCTGGGTTTGTCTGAGCACAAATCACAACAGCTCGTGTTTAAAGTCTGTCAGTCTGAATGATTTGGCTCCAGATTCCGTCTGTACTCAAACTGGATTGGTGTTAGTCAGAAAACTGTAGGATTTATTCTACAATGTGCTGCAGAATGAAATGAGTATTTAGTGAAATACTCGGGGGTGAGGACACGTTCACTGTGTGTAGTACGTTCAGTGAGTGAGGATCCATCTGAGTGAGTCAGTGAATCACTGCACGTTGGCTCTCAGCTGACTGAGAACGGATTGTTTGAGGAAGTGATTCAGTACAGTTCGTTCACCCAAAACATTTGTTCATTCAGACGAAACGTATGAATGTAATGTGATCTCTGATTCAACACACTGCGAGTTCTCAAACTCTGGAGACAAAGTTTTATAACATTGGAAATATTAACGCTGCTGACATTGTTAGTGTGAAACTAATATTTCAGACAAGAAATTGTTGTTTTCAGAAGTTTAAATTCTAACTGAAATATTTAAAGTTAAACCATAGTTAATACTATTAAAGGTTTATTCCACACTGAGGATTCAACCACATAGATTTGATGCTGATTCACACTGAGCATCTTGTTGAGCTTCATATTTAAAACATATTTAATATCACATTAATCATTCAACAGTGGTTGATTCTCTCTTAATGGTTTCATTTTCACCTTTCCCTCATTTGAATGAAACAGAAACATGTTTTATTCTCGATCAAACAAGAACAAACATGAATGAAAATAAATAGTTCAAACTGAACCCCAAATCCCACAAAGCAGTTTCTGGAAGAACCTCCACACTGGACCTATTGTAACTGTGCTTGTTATTGTTTCCATTCAAAGTGACACAACATGTACATTTAATAACAGATAACAGATGTATATTGAAAATCAATACAAATAAAATCATAATGAAAGTAAATAAAAACAAACTAGATCATACGACAGATTGTCCCCATCTACTTCAACCCCCATGATCTGTGTACATACCGTGTGTTTAAAATTTTTGTAAAATAATTATTAAAATGTACTTATTACAATTAATTATTAGGGTAATTAAGTAATTTATATTTTGATTATTAATTACAGGATTTTCCTTGGGGGCACCACCCTGTTACCAGGGACTAATATCAAATCTGCAATTTACAGTCTCAAATTTCTATGTAGGTTACTTTAACTTAACTTAATATCAAAATATTCAAATAAAAGGGGAAACCATACATACGAAGGCGTGAATGCAAGCACTGACCCCGCCAACCAGCAAGTTGTATAATAACACTCTACACAATGACAACAGAAACCGACTATTTAAAATATAATGCAGTGTGTGTGTGTGTGTGTGTGTGTGTGTGTGTGAGTGTGTGAGGGGTCAGGAGAGGTAGGAGAGACACACCCTTGCGAGGGGAGGTGTGTATACAGATGATGGCCTAGATGGAGGAGGAGGTAACGTTACAGTGATGACGAGGTCTCACTGATGACGCTACACTGCCTTCCCAGAATGGCGGTCAGTTTAAATGGACTATGTGATTTACGATATGTGTCTGCTTACTGGGGTACTGTTATCTGGTCCCCCAAATGGCTGGCAAATCAGAACACGTGTGTGTGTGTGTGTGTGTGTGTGTGTGTGTGTGTGTGTGTGTGTGTAAGCGGGAGAAAAGGAAAAAGGAGAGTAAGAAATAACGCACACGCACCGGAGACGAGGTTCTGACCCGTTCCGAGAATATCGAGCTGAGTTATACCCACTACACCACAACGAGATCAGACTCTGGGACCCGGCGCGACCCTTTAACATGAAAACTCCAATACAATATAACTGGAAGGACTCTGCGGCCCGTTTCTCAGTTACACAGTAATGTGAGGATACAGGTACAATTTATAACGGTAATGATTACACAAATAATACTACTAATAATACACAACTAATACCCAGACGTTTGAAATGCCCTTACGTTGTGTTGAGATGATTGATACCGATTCAGCTTGGTCCTCGAGCTGAATAGCGGAGGTTGTGGGCTGGTCCCTCGTTTGGCAGCGTACAGGAACAGCGAGGTCGACTTATGGGAAGAAAGCGGCGATCAGCGATGTGTATTTGTCCCGGCGGAAAATCTTCGTCTTTCTGCGGGTAATTGAAAGATAACAGCGGCTGCTTGCTGTCTCTGCGGGATCCCAGATTAAATGACGATCGTTAAAAAAAGGAGGGAAGGAGGTGTAACAGTCTGGCCCCTCCAGCGAGTTTGAAGACAAATGGCACACTTTAAGAAAAATAAAAAGGGGTTTTAAAAAGATAAAGAGGATGCTCTCTAGTGCTACGAGAACAGTACCTAAACGGACGTTAATCTTGAGCGAGAAGCGGAGAGGAGAGAGTCTCTAGGGCTTTTATACCTGGGATGACAGGCCTGGGGTCCGAGGGAATCTGACCACCATAAACAGGCTTTATCACTTACACCAAGGCCGGCTGTAGTAATGACAATCCCTTTGTCTGAGCACATGGCTAGGCCAACACAGAATTAAAGGCACATTCACACAATAACACTGAATATGAAAATACACAAATACAAGAAAAGAATAAAAACATAAAAACAAATTAAAATAATTATACAATGAACATGAATACAATGAAGGTTGCAATAAAACTATTGAGGAGACAGTATTTAGTATTAACTCCTCCCTCCCCGAACAGATAGAGCTGATCCACTGAGACTTTATGTGTTTGACTCCCAGATATGTCCAGATAGACACTAATCTAAAGCTTTTTATAAACTTGTACATTGTAAACCTTCTTCAGCTCTGAACAGATTATTAAACACTGAATGATTTCAAGCAGGAACATTGTCTTCTAAACTCTCATCTTTTATTCTTTTTTCAGATTGAGTTACTGCAGGATCTCAGATATCAACTGTTCTTCTCTGGTCTCAGCTCTGAAGTCCAAGCCCTCCCATCTGAGAGAGCTGGACCTGAGTGAGAACGACAACCTGCAGGATTCAGGAGTGAAGCTGCTGTGTGGTTTTCTGGAGAGTCCACTCTGCAGACTGGAGACTCTGAGGTGAGACACCATTTTTTATTTCTTTGCTGAGATGAATGTGATGTGAAAGTTGTGCTGACAGTAAAGTGCAGACAGGTTGATGTTTATGAGGTAAAATCCTCTTCAGATTTAATGACATTAACACTCAGATTTCACTGTTCCAGTAGTTGGATGCACAGCAGGGATATTGTGATATTGGGCTGATCAATAAAATGTATGAATGTTTGTATTGAAATAGTTAAAGTCTGATTTGAACTGATTCCAGATGTTTTTATCATTAGTCTCCATGTAAGGATGTTTTCTAGAGCTGTACAGTGAGTGAACTCATTGAAGAGCAGGATGTGTTCAGAAGACTCACCTCTAACTGAAACATCAAGATGTTCCTGAAGATCAGCTGCACCTCCTTCACTACACACTTACAGATGCTTTATCTTAATACACTGACCTCTAATCAGTTGATCCTGTTTAAACTGTCACCATCACTCATTTCACATCAGTTTCAGTGCGTTTTGTGCAGTGGTGAACACAGCATGTCTCCCTGTGACAGCCAAACTCATGGAGCTACTGTCTCTGTAGCTGCAGTCAGAGACACAGGAAGCCTCCATGTGTTTAAAGCAGAGCTGAGCTCCTCAGGCTCTCTGCTCTCGTCCTCTGGAGACTCTGCTTTTAAAACTCACAGAAAACTGATGCCACTTGTTGTTGGAAATCCAATTGGAATATTTCATGTTAAACCATAGTTCATACTTTCAGAACTTTATTCCAAAGCTTTCAGATCTTTGAGGATTCTCAGATTAGATTTTAGATTTGATGCTGATTCACAATGAACACCTTGTTGAGCTTCATATTTCCAACATATTTAATATCACATTAATAATACAACACTGGTTGATTCTCTCTTGAACTCTTCATCATTTCATTTTCATCTTTCCCTCATTTGAATAAAAACAGAAGCATGTTTCCTTCTCTGTCAGACAGGAACAAACATATCAGCTTGTTCCAAACCTTTCTGATGATATGTGACGTTTCTACTGACTGAATATTTACACTCAAGATGACAGCATTTTATCTTTAATAGAATCAAACCTTCAATCACTTTCTGTGGCTTTTTCTTTGTGTTTGGCTGCACAACATGAGTTTGTATAGATGGAGCCACTGGTGGAGCTGGCAGAGGTTAAGAGCTGAAGTCACTACGTCTTTATTGAAGCAGCAGCACGTTTTCATTAATATTAATGAGAGCTCTTTTTCACTCTTTGTATTTTACAGTTTGCAACCTGCATCCTGTTGGGTTCAGGTGTTTGGAGTTTCAATTTTCTAAACTTGTACATTGTAAACCTTCTTCAGCTCTGAACAGATTATTAAACACTGAATGATTTCAAGCAGGAACATTGTCTTCTAAACTCACATCTTTTATTCTTTATTCAGATTGAGGTGGTGCAGGTTGTCAGAGATCATCTGTTCTTCTCTGGTCTCAGCTCTGAAGTCCAACCCCTCCCATCTGAGAGAGCTGGAGCTGAGTAACAACAAGCTGCAGGATTCAGGAGTGAAGCTGCTGTGTGGTTTTCTGGAGAGTCCACACTGTAGACTGGAGACTCTGAGGTCAGACACCATTTTTTATTTCTGTGCTGAGATGAATGTGATGTGAAAGTTGTGCTGACAGTGAAGTGCAGACATAAGGCTGATATTATACTGATCCACACTGAGTATCTTAATGCTAAAGGCTGTTTTCTTCTTCAGTGGTTTAGTCCATTGACTGTGGCAGAGCAATGTTGAGCTCCACATTTAAAACCTTCATATAACAAGAAGAATCTACACTGAATAATTCACTGTGAACCTCTTCAGCTCTGGATTTTACATTAAAGGTCACCTTGTGGTTTTAAATCATCCATAAACATAAATGAATTAACACAAAGAATAAATAAATAATCTTTATTTCAACTGTCAGATAATAACAAATATATTCAGTGTTTTATGAAGCTGTGTGATGTTTCTACTGACTGAACTGTTTCATTATAAACTCACATCTTTTATTCTTTATTCAGATTGAGGGGCTGCAGTTTGTCAGAGATCAGCTGTTCTTCTCTGGTCTCAGCTCTGAAGTCCAACCCCTGCCATCTGAGAGAGCTGGACCTGAGTAAGAACAACCTGAAGGATTCAGATGTGAAGCTGCTGTCTGATCTTGTGGAGAGTCCACACTGTAGACTGCAGACTCTGAGGTCAGTAGAGGGTCTGAGTCAGTCCATGCTGGTTCCAGCAGTCTTCGACTAAACACAGATCCAGTATTTGCTGCTTTCCTCAGTGAAACTGTGAGAGGAGAATGGGGACAGGCTTCAGGATTGGACAGACAGACAGACAGAGAGCCAGAAGCTTGTTGTGATCATGTGTTTGAGTTGATGTGAAGACGACTGTTGTTGTTGTGTTCATGTGTTCAGGAAATAAAGCTGGATTCCAGCTGACAGCATTACAAGATGTATAGAGACAGTGGTCCTCATTCATCCAGTCTGATCTCACACTGTTTGTTCTCTCATTTCTACACTAAACAACTGATCAGTTGGTCTTTGTCACAGCTCTGAGATCAGTCTGACTGAAGCCTGCAAACAAGCATCATTACATTTAGTGACCATGTGGTCTTTGTACAGACCAGGACCTCTGCTGGAGTCCAGTACCCACAGCTGATGTGTTGCTGTTCAGTCTTTGTATGAACATGTAGGACCTTTAACATCAGATATATATCTGTCCATTTGTCTCTTGTTTGTCCAAATAGTTTGAATATTTACACATTTGTCCTGTAAGATTTCAGATGAAACATTCAAATGTGACTGAGACTGTGGTTTTTATCAGCTTTGAACCCTAACAGCAGTAAATGCATCATTCCAGTGGGCAGTGAATGTCTCTCTGTTTCTGCAGTAATGATGTGTTCAGACCCTGCTGCTCTTTATACTGGATGTGCTGATGGAGGGAGTCTCTGTAAACACTGATTTATCTCTGCTGTCCTCTGTCTCCTTCTCTCCTCAGATGGAAGTGATCACAGTCAGACTGTGAGCGGTGAGGAAGGAGGTTGTGTTGGAGGATCCGCTGTGTCCTGATGATCCAGAGAGGTTGAAGCAGCAGCATCACTCCACACATAGAAGCGGTATTGCATTGCGTGATACTGCCTCACTATAATGTAATGTCATATAAAAATAAAATAAATAAATACATAATGTCTGACAGGAAATATACTTTTAGTCTTTGTCAGCGTGCACATGTTTATTCAGAATGGGATGTCTACATGGCTGTGAGTCAGTGTGTTTGTATTGTAATACCTATACTGAACATCTTTAATCTTACCCTTGACAAACACCCCCAATATTAAAATAAGATTTTAAATAAATAAAACTAATTTGAAACTTAATGTTTTATTATTTTCCTGGCAGAAATTGGGCTTCCATACAAGGTCTGGATGAAAAAAGACAATATGTTGTTAAATGTTAGACTTTAAACTGTCCTGTTTCTATAGCAACCGGCATTAATCAGTATTCCCAAAATCCCCCCCCCCATCTGATGACATCATGATGACATGACATCACTGTCTCTGTCACTGTAACCCATATTAGATGTTAGGAAAACAAACATTTACCAGGCTTAAGGACAGTTTACACCTCTATGTGTTCTATGGAAGAGACTTCATGCCAGACTTCATTTAAAAATAGTCCACAAGAGTTTAATATAAGATGTCAAACAAATGAATGTAGTCTTACAGTTTATTCAGCTGATATAAAAGGAGACTTCGTGCCAGATTTCCTATGAAAATCTTCCTCTTTCAGCCCATTTTTACCAAAATACCAAGGCAGTCTTAAATACGACACATTTTCAATGGAGTTTGGAACAACTTTCTGTTCAACCTGCAGCATCTGAAGCACTGCCCAATAAAGTAAAATAAACATTACAAAGTCAGGGGACAGCTGGTCGGGATCGTCAAAAAAGTTCCAGATTGTCTAAAAGCCCCTCACGCCTCCCCATGCTGGGGGTTGCCGAACGTCGGAGCGGACCTAAGGGGGATTATTTTTGTAACATATTTTTGTAATATCTGTATCACAGATACAGGTTAAAAAATTTAAAACATTACAGTTAAATTTTATTTTTTAAGAAACAAAGAAAGTCTTTGCAGTAAACAAACACTCATTGAAGGTGAAAGACTGGGTAGAGGCAGTTCCACTGCAGTATATGGAAGTCCCCTCTCTGATAGGTAGACATTACTAATGGAAAAAAGTCCTCTCTTGGCAAAAAAACCAAAGACATTTTAAGAAATATTCTGGTAAAAGAAAGAAAAAAAAGAACATTTTCTATTAAATATAAAAAAAACAGAAATTGCAGTCCCTTGTTGGAAAGTGTAGTCTGTCAGTCCCCTGTTAGTAATGTAGGCGTGTGTGTGTGTGTGTGTGTGTTAAAGGTAACTGTGAGCCTTTTTTGCGACTCGTTTGAATTGTTTCCTGATTCTTGTCACACACACACACACACACACACTGCACACACACACACACACATAAAGGGTAATAAATTACAGTTGATAATAATCAGAGTTTATTGAGAGATGTAAAATGTTTGATATGTTTTCTGTTCCATGGAAGTCAAAGTATGTTTGTGCTTAAAATAATAAATGAACATTTGAAAAGAGTCAGAACTCAGCTGAAGATCACTCACACTCCTCCTGGTTGCTGCTGCCTTCGTCTGCCACCTGTGACCTCCTCACCTTCTTCTTCATGTCGGTGCCTGGCAACCCTGCAGGGACACACACAGCCACCGAGGTCAGAGGTCAAACCGACCGAGCTTCAACCAAACAGCCTCTTGGTTTACCACCACAGAAAAGTTAAAGAAACCCTGCTGTGTAAAAGTGTGAATATGAATATAAAGTGTAAAAGGTTAGAGAACAAACGGTCACATTGGGTTTGGTGAAACGTTAGAAGATGATTGACAGGAGTGAACGATGTCACACTGCGCTCATCTCAGCCTCCTTTCTGGACCCTTTATTCCGCTTGTTTGTGTTTATTTGTCAATAACGTTGTTGACTTTTAAATTTCCCTCTTTCAAAACAAAAGCACATCACTTCCGCTTTTTCTTCTTCTTCTTCTTCTTCTTCTTCTTCTTCTGCTGCTGCTTTAGTGTAGTCAATATCCCCCTTATGGTTGGTTGGTAAAGCGCTCCAGGTGAGTCAGCAGCCAGGTTGTTACTGTTCACTAAAACTGAATTATATTATATAACATACACATTAAAAACATAATCCCACACTATAACTAATTACCTGATAGAAAATGGAGTCAGTTAATCCAAATATCACAATATTAAAGTAGAATAACTGGATTCTGTTACTTTTGGATTACCTCAACACTAAATATGCAAATAACAATTGTAACCTTGGAAACAGAAATGGACGCAAATAATAATATAATATAACATAATATAACATAACATAATGTAATATAATATAATGTGATATAAGTTAATATAATATAATATATGTAATATATTATAATATAATATAATAAAATACAATATAATATCATATAATATAATATAATACTCATCATCATCATTATTAGTTCTTTCTGCTAGTATTGTTGTTGCTGTGCATCTTTGTTTCTGTCTCTCTTTCTCTCTTTACCAACTACAAACTCAGAAGAGTTAACAGGAAATACCAGCTGTTACCTTCAACACACACACACACACACACACACACACACACACACACACACACACACACACACACACACACACACACACACACACACACACACACACACACACACACACACACACACACACACACAGATAAACACTGACTTCCTGTAAACGGAGAGGGGAGAAGCAACATGTGATCCAGGTAAAGGTGTTCAGATAGTTCAGAGTCAGACTCCATTTTGAGTCGACAGAGCAGGAGGAGGGAAACTGAAGGCTGAGGCAGAGTGAGTGTTAATACACCATTATTATTATTGTACTGCTTTATTATACTGTGTGTGTGTGTGTGTGTGTGTGTGTGTGTGTGTGTGTGTGACTCGTGAACAATCTTTTTTCCTGATTCTTTTCCTCTGAGCTCACAGTCTGTGTTACTGTTTAACTCTCAGACTGACTTCAGATCAGAAGATGAGTGTTTGTGTGGAGGAAGAGGAGGACAGAGCAGAGTCTGCAGCGTCCAGCTGTCTGTCTATGAAGAGTGACCGGTCCAATGATCTTCCTCCAGTCTTCAGTAATGAACCTGGACCCTCAGACTCAAAGTAAGAGAACTGATACAAACTCATTTATATGACTCATTTTCAGTTCCCTCTGCTCATGCATGCTTTCTGTTGATTTTGTGTTTATATATTAAAATTTCTGCTAAAATGTATTTACTAACTAAACTAGGCTGATTGAAAATCAATGAGACACAGAGAACTGCGTTTTCTGATTATATTGAATATAGGTACCAGACGACAAAACACTCTTCAAATACAAAAAACCCTTTTACCTTTAACACACACACACACACACACACACCTACAGACACACACACACACACACACACACACACACACACACACACACACACACACACACACACAGACACACACAGCAAACACACACAC